CCCCCCTCCCCCCCCGCCAACAAATGACCTACACTGGTAATTCACACACAAAAATACAAATAATAAACACATGGGGTAAAAATCAAAGCCTAAGAGAAATCAATGAAAATTAAAATAATGAAATACCATTATTCATCTACTGAACAGACAAAAATATAAAGTACTAATAAAAATGTCAAGGATACAGGAAAATAGGCTCTTCCAGACACTACTGATCAGAATGTAATCTGGTATAACCCCTTTTTAAATCAATTTGACAAAATCTAATGTTTTTAAAATATACATATTCACTGAGATCTAAACTCTATTTTTAGGATTTAAGTAATTATGACAATATATGAAGATGTTCATGATAGGGTTGTATAGAACTACAAAAAAGCAAAAAAAAAAAAAAAAACCCCACAACATTTTAATGGTTAAATAAAAATATCCTCAAAATATACTAAGTAAAAAAAGAAACAGATAATAAACAGAAAGGACAGTATAATCTCTTTTTTGGTAGGGAAGAAAAAAACTAGGATACTCAACAAAATGTCAACAAAACTTATATGGTAGGCTTATGAGTGGTTTCTAGTTATTCTTGCTTTTTTATATTTTCCAAATTAAAAAAAAAAAACATACTTTATAGTCAAAGGACATACGAGAGAATTGTCTGAGGTGAGAGAACTACTCTTCTTGCTTATGGTGGTGGTTACACAATTGCATGCGTTCGTCAAAACTCATAGAACTATATATCACAAAGAATGAAATTAACTACATAAATATTAGAAAGTGTACACAAATTAAGTACACTAAAACTTATGAAAATAGCTACATATAAACATATGGATGGATGGATGCATACATATGTCTTTACTATTATTAATCTGTTTATCACTTGGCTGATTTTATTCTAGATATTTAATCCCAGGAAATATTAAGAAAAGCACACAAGGATTTATACCTAAGAAAATACAGCCAACATTATTTAAAGCAACAAATAATTGGGAACGACAAGTTTGTGTAAATAAGATTTGGTCCAACACAAAGATATTGATTATAAAGATTTTGTCCAAACATGGAGAGCCACTAAAAATTGTTTTAATAGAATAGTTAATTTTCTTTAACTCAAAATTTTATGTGGGGGGAAAAAAGCAGGTGATAAAATAGCACATACGGGAAATTCCTAATTTTGGTTAAGGAAGGAACAGGGAAAGTTGAGTGCCTTGTTACACAGACTTGGAAAAAACTACCCATCTTAGTATGTTAAGATGTTAACAGTGAATATGATATGCATAGTGGGATATTTTTTCTTATTTGGACTGTCCTATACTTTCCAAAATTTCTGTTATGAACAATTATTACTTCTGTGATCAGAAAAATGCTTCTTAAACATTAATATCACATAAATGTATCCCTGACTAGGATATGGAAAAATATGATAGAGAAGCTCAAAGAGTGAGGTATTAAGTAATTATATTAACAACCAAATTGTTTTAACAACTTGAACGATTATTTATAGCATGGAAATTATTTTACCTACAAATCCTTAATGTACTAGCACTTGATTCTCTCTCCCATTCAATTTTTGACAGTACCCACCATGGTTCTTAAAACACTTGCACTAAATGTTTCTTTTGTTCACATATAGTGCACAGTGAGACTTTTTTTAAAAACACACACAAAAAAGTAATAGCTATTTCATTATGGTTATTCAGAAAACACTAAAGAATTCAATACTATAAATATATTGCTTGAACCTACTGAGGACCACATACACCAACAAATTTAATTTTGAGAAGCAACATAAATAAAGGATGTACAGCAATATCCTCATTCACTTTTCTAAGATGTAATCTTTGAAAAAATTTAAAGCAACATGTGAAAAGGTCAGATATGCACACTAAAAAGGAACTACCTCCAAAGACCCGAAAACACCAAACTATAGTCTAACATCACAAATCTTTCCCTAGACAGCCAACAGAATCAATAGTTTGCGAGCCACCGGGGAGAACAACAAAGCAAGAAACATGGCTGCAACACCTGAACAGCACATTGCTTTGAAACAGTTAATGTGATGCTGGGAGGGAAAGTCACACAATATGAATCCTGAATCTCAAACAAGCCTAGATTACATTGACTAAGCTAATAGCTGCCAAGTATGGAGAATCACACTCAACTTATAAAAAAAAAGCAGTAAACCAAGTGCAAGGAAATAAAACTTCTATGTATAACTCTCTAACAGAGAATCATTGTAAATGAACAAATAAAAACAAAGAGGATTACAACATTATTACAGAATTATTTCTTAGAAAAAAAGGAATATAAAAAATTTCCCCTCGTCTCTTGTTTGCTATTATTCCTCTCACTACAAGAAATGTACGCTGATTAGTTTTCAGATCCTGTTGGATTTGGGACAACATGATCAGAACTTGGGAAAACATGACAGAACTTAAGTGGATCATTATGGAAAACTAGAGCACCCCATATGCAAGAGAAACAAAGAAAATAAGGAAATCAAGGTTCCTTTAAGAAACCCAACACATAAATATTTCAATGTTTTAAACTCGGTGGTAGCTAGTTTCAAAATAAAGTACCCATATATTTTCTTCCTTAAGACTTGATTCTTTTCAGAAAGGATTTGAAGGTACTATGACTAAGAATATAATAAGATCAACAGAAGTAAAAACTGGGATTTTGGATACAATATATTGTGGTGGTGGGAACTTTACCTTCCCCCGTACATTCCTAGGTAACTCTTCGTACCGAAAACTTTTGGGCATAGTAGTTGAGCCTTCTTAGGCCTGGTTGCTGCTGAGGACTGAGATGTGGCACAGGGTACGTGGCATTGAGAACCCGGTGACATCACAATCACTTAGCTCAGAGGTTGTACTTCTTCTTTGGACATCAAGGACAAGGCATGTTAAGGAAAGGTTTGGGACTACAGGAAAGCTCGTATATTTTGAATGACAAAGTACTTGGAAACGCTAGTGTTCAATTTTAATTGCTCAAGGGAGAAAACAAAGCAGGTACCTGCTCAATTTGATACTAAGAAGCTAGAGATTACCAGGATTGAGAAAAGGCAACAACTGTAAATCAATGCACCCAGGATATCCCTATA